AAAATATTTGTCAGTTGGAATTGTTATTCCCAATATATGGAAAAATAAGAAATGTTCCAAACCACCAACCAGTATAGTCATATCTATCATAAACCCAGCCACTGAAATCCGGCACCTGAACGCTATCTTGGGGGCCCCATCCTGCAGGTTTAAGTTCCAAGATTTATTATGAGACCACTTAAGTTAAAATGAATGTGCTACACCCAATCACAAACTATCCCATTAACCAACCAGATTGGGGGTTATTTAATATAATCCCAAATAAGGATATACTATTGGGATGGTCTAGGGCTTTGGTTTTCCCCACATCAACCTAGAAATACATATACACGCCAAGCCAGTACCAACAAAGGGGTTGACCCATCACTCATCCATATTTTACCCTCTGGTAAACTTTCACATAACTATGGAAAATCACCATTTTTAATGGGAAAATCCACTATAAATGGGCTATGTTCAATAGCTACGTTAAATTACCAGAGGGTAAGAAATTTCTTCATCTGTATACCTTTGTGGTCAGAAATGGAAGGGGGAGCGGCTATAAGGTTTTTGTGAATTCGGGGTTAAATTGTACTAGAAACGGTTGTCTTGGGTACTCCATATATTTGATTGCTGATTCAGAGGTAAACATGACGCGGCTGCCGGTTCATCCCTCTGTTTCAGTATTTGACCTATGCCGATGCTTCCAAACAATATCCCTTTCATCTTGGTAATATCCATTCGCGTTGCTTTTCCAACCTAGTTTTGATCATATACATATAGTTCATAGTCATATATGATCAAAAGTGGCGACCCGATATACATAATACTTAACAGACTTAACACATGACCTGTCCATCTGTGCTCCGCAACGAAGCTGAAATGTTGACGCTGCTGCTTATACTCCCCAGCTGCTGATGAAATACCAAAAATTTGTGGTATGGAAAGATCCTCACAAGGTGGTGCCCCCCAAACGTTATAAATTGCTTTGTAAAGCCCATTCGATATATCACCTATAAACATTAACTATAGTTATATCACCTATAAATGGGTTATAAACCCCATTAACTATAGTTATAGGTACCATAAACCATAGTGAAATTGGAGTTATGTGAACCCCAACTGAACGCGATTTCCTTCGGGGGCACCACACCTTGCATGGACTCTCCATCAGCGAAAGCTTTTCCCCCCAAGCTGCCAACCAGATGTGGTAACACATGAATAGAATATCAACCACTAAAGAAAACACATGAACCATATATATATAGTATTTGCCAAGAATATAGAAAAAATTACACCATATATATATATATATATATATTATGTATATATATATAATTGGAGGTCACTTTATATGTATGTGTATATATAATACACATCATATATACATATATACATATAAAATGTGTGTATATATATATGATACACATATAGAATGTATAGATATAATTCCCACTATCAACCATTTGAAAAAATAACAAAAATAAGAATCAACTCATCCCAAGCCATCCGTGTCAGTGATCCTCTGTCTGGAGCCAGTTGCGCCTGGCTTTTCGCAAGGCTGAAATTACACCAACCTCACGATGGGGGTCCCTATTTGTAGCTTAGATTTCTGTTTATAACTCCAATAACTATGGTTTATAGGTGATATAATGATATATCTATAATTCTATAGTCTTCATGGGGTTTATAAACCAATTTATATACTGGTTGGTGGTGGTTGACCTACCCCTCTGAAAAAGCATGGATTTCGTCAATGGGGTTGGGATGACATCCCATATATGAAATGGAAAATAAAAGCCATGTCTGAAACCACCAACCAGTTTTGCTTTTCACTACCTGATTGGAAAAGGACGAATATCCAACATTGACTAAGCAGGTACCTGGTTTGATCGGGATTCTGAAAGAACCGGGTTCAATTTACAGAAATACAGTTGCCACAGAAATGCATATTTTGAAATGGGTGATACAGTATCAAGTGATACACAATGTGAACTGCAGTTGAATACAACTGCTTGGTGGTTTCAATATGTTTCAATCCATTCATCATCCCATAGCCGACCAGTATTTCATAGGATTGGTGACCGGGTTAGATTTTTTCATGATTGGGGCAATGGACTCGCAGAACTGGTGCAACGATTGGTCATTTTAAAGATCTAAACATCCTGACTTTGGTTGGCAAAAGTCCAATAAAATATCAACCCCTAAAACACAATATCTCAATTGATGCCATCCCCAAACAGAAAATGCCACCCTATAAACCACGCTTTAGTATTGGATCTATTCATGTTCAGCTGCCCAGTTATCCCCAGTTCAAATGGTTATCCTCGAGCAAATCGACCCGAAAATTATGGAAAATCCAACCGACTGCAGACCAATTTTAAGCCAATTTGAAGGGGGAAACCATGGATCTTCCATAGTTTTGTTCTATGTTTATTAAAGGGTAAACTTGTAAACCTTTTTTTTGGTGGAATAAATTTATGAAATTGTTTTTTTTCTATGGTTTTTATGGTTTTTATCACCATCAAACCATTATAGTTAGGTTCTTCAGCCACCATTCTTGATGGTGAAGCCCGCCAAAAAATGACCTCTACTTGGCCTCCCGACGTCTCTTTGGGCGCACAGGGCAGAGCCAAGTTTCTCAACCTGCCAGGTTTCTCCAGCATTTTGGAATCCAAAAAATGTCATTTTTAGTTGAAATTTACTTCCTAATTTCCAGTTGTTTGCAGCTTTTTCCATGCATTTCTGGGTTGTTTTTTTGTTGACTTTGGTGTGAAAAATCCACCAATTGTAAATCATGTTCGTAGAAAACACTGGTTTTTGCACATCTATGACAATAAAAATTGGAGCGTAACTATCAAAACTGAGGATTTGACCGAAAATGATTGAATATGGTTTTCAATATTGAAATGGGGATGGATCAAACCTGCAAAAAACTATATGTTGAGGGGATGAAGCTCATGAAGCCCGTATCTTTACCTATATTTACCAGCTATTCTCGTGTTCACCAACCTACAAGGTGGTGCCCCCAGTTATAACTTAGTTTATAATCCCCATTAACTATAGTTATATCTGCCATAAACCATAGTTATGGGACTTATAAACCAACTTAGCTAACTATGGGGCACCACCTTGTACAGTATTTTTCACTGACCCAGAACCATAAGAACCAATGACAAATCATCTTGGATCACCCTACTTAGCGCTTGGGGTGAAATAGATGACCCCCCATGTTGGGTGATATAGGGCCCCTTTAAAACATCCTATCACTAGTGTTCAAGGCAAAGCCCCATCCTAATTTTCAACGCTGCGCTCTGAAGGCAGTTTGTTCAAAGCGATGACATCTATGGATGTCAAAGCAACGGAAGGGTTCCAGTGGACAGCTGCACCCCACAGGCAAAGCCCCAACATCTAAGAACCACCGCTTTGCTGCAAGGGGCAAGATGCACACTAGAGACCCAGTGAAACCTAGCAAAGCAGCAAGTCCTCTTGGGTGCAACCCCCCAGGCCCAAGCCCACCAAGCAACAAGCACCCAGACACCGGTGTCCCTCCCCAGGGTGGAGGTGGGGAAAGAGGAGGTTGAAGCTGAGGAAATGCTGCGGATAGGGCGAACATGCCATTCACACTATCATTACGGGGGACCATTAGCTAGTGTTCAAGGCAAAGCCCCATCCTAATTTTCAACGCTGCGCTCTGAAGGCAGTTTGTTCAAAGCGATGACATCTATGGATGTCAAAGCAACGGAAGGGTTCCAGTGGACAGCTGCACCCCACAGGCAAAGCCCCAACATCTAAGAACCACCGCTTTGCTGCAAGGGGCAAGATGCACACTAGAGACCCAGTGAAACCTAGCAAAGCAGCAAGTCCTCTTGGGTGCAACCCCTTAGGCCCAAGCCCACCAAGCAACAAGCACCCAGACACCGGTGTCCACCTCTCCCCAAACTAGCAGGACACTGCTGCTGTAAAGGTAGCATACTCAAGCATTGACTCGAAGGAGAGATGAGAGGACCTGAAAGAAGAAAGTTTACGAGTCACAGCGGGGGGAAACAGGGGGGGAACAAAAGACTTATGAGTCAAACTGGAAACCAGGGCGTGCTCGCTTGGCAAGACGCAAAAGATTACGTTGAACTACTGGCTCCAGTTGAATCTCAGTTAACTGCGCAAGTGCATCTGTGAGATATATTCTGGCAGTTTTAATGCTGTTCCATCTGCCCACAAAGCAAACTCGTGAGAGGTCATTGGTGGCCCGAAAGAAATGGGTCGCACCGCCTCGACGGAGCGAGTACCATTGGTACCCCTCAGGAAACTTCAAGTCACTCAGAAGACTTTTAAGACGGGAGCGCATAATTCCGGGGGAAACACTCCGCAAATAATCCCCTGGAGAGAGGGCTGACATGTAGTTAGCCAGTGCCACCACCAGCCAGCTATCGTCAATGACTAAAGATTCCTGAGCTCCGACTCTTTGTCCGCTTTTGGTCAAAGGAAGGGACCAAATGGCCTTGGTCTTGGTGGTATTCCAAGTAAAGTCTCCTCTCTTAGCCATAAAGAGCTCCCCAGACCGCGCAAATCTGTCAAAACCCAAAAGGACGAGGACAGCAAGATCAGACCAGCCTTTGTCAAATGCAGCTTGAGCAAGGGCATAAACCATCACAGGCAGAAACGGTAGAGCACGAGCAGGCAACTCCGCCCTAGTCCAACTCCCATGCAGTCGCCAGGCCCCCACCAAACTTCGCTTGCATTGCGGAACAAAATGCCCCAGGCCAGACAAACAATCGCTAGCATACGACTTAGGGTCCCCATTATGCCACAAAGCTTCAATGAATTCACAAACTTTTGCATCTAGACTTGAAAAGGAAGAAGGATAAGTGAAACCATGACTTCGCAAGAACAGCAAGAAACGTGAAACAGCCTCCAAATATCGATCCCGAGTGTTTTTAGCCACAACCAAGTCTTTTAGACTCCCCAGTGCCTGCCTGTCCTTTTTTCTTTCGACTCGGCCCCGTCGGCCTAAGACCTGTTGTCTAGGCATTGCGACGACGCTTGGCCCATCTACTGGGCCCATCAGCTGGGTTCCACTTGCTCTTGATCCATCCGAGGCAGAGTCGAAAGTGTGCGGCTAGGCATACGGCACTGATGCGGCGTAGGGGACCTTGGAGGGCTCGAGCGGAGCTGCGTCCCTTCGAGAGGCAGCTCATTGCAACTTGGTTGTCCACAAGTGTGATCAAGCGTTGGTCATGATGCTTTGGATCGCGTCCTTGCCGGCGGAGAAGATCAAGGACCGCCACCAACTCCAAGATGTTGATGTGTTGTCCTGGCTCTCTCCATGAGTAGGACATCAAGACTTTCCAAATCCAGTGACTGGGATCAATGCTCTGCCGGCACAGTTCACCAACGGAGTAAGGCATCCCCAAGTCAATCCGGATCTCAGCACCACGGTGTGTCCCATTGCGAGCTAACAAGTAGCTCAGCATCTCTTCGTCTGTCAGCCACTGTTGAGGGTCAATGAATGACCGCAGGGGCGCGACTGGTGATGGCAAGACCCGCTCGAGCAGGCTCACCACCCCAGGAACCCCCGCAGCCACACTTGCAAACCTCACTTTCCAAGGTTTTCCTTCTTGACCAGCTTTGTCTTCCTTGGCTTTCCAGACTTCCCAGAGCATCAGGCTGACATCCTTTCCAACACATTGCTCCGGCTTCAACACCAGGCCCACCAAGAGCCGAGCCACCACCATCGCTGAAAAGGAATTCCCAACCATTTGACCTCTCAGGTCTGCACTGAGCTTGGTTTTGGTATTGAGGTGTGTGGATTGGAAACCCATCATCCGGAGCTGCTCTTCGACTGCAGGCCTTCTGGGCCCATTCTTGTCGGTTACCAGGTTACGAGGCTCATATTGGTAGGGCTGGAGCCTGTAACTGTCTCCGCGCCACCGCTTCAAGGCCTTCTCTGTGGCCTGGTCAAACCCGGCAGGATCTTCTGGAGGGCTCTGTCGAGCGATTGGCCGGGTGAACGTTGCAAACGGCTCTTCAGGTTCGGCCATCTTGGTGGTCCCTTCATTCAGGAACCATGTGAGCGGGGGACGTTCCGTGTCCACCTTGATTTGCTTCACCTGGTAGTTGTGACCTCTCAGAGTTCGCCGCGCGGCGACAGACAGATCATCTCCAGCCACAAGGTCCACCCCTGAAATCCAGTAGAGCCTGGGTCTTCGGCAACGCCCAATCTCAGCAGCCTCAACAAAGTAGGGCGTGTACCCAATCTTCTTGCTTTGGGCTTCGTAATCTGCATCATCCATGACCACATTTTCGAAAATCTCCACTACTTTCCATGGGGGAAGGTGCAACTTCTCTGAGCACGATCCCAACCATCCTCTGATTGCCAACATGTCGTCCAGCAGCTTGCTCGAAGCTCCTTCTGCTCCCTGTCGTCTAGGGTTCAGCACCGAGTGGTTGATGCATGGCCATCCTCCTCCAATGACCACCTTTGTGGCGCGCGGAAATCGCCTTCTCCATTCCAAGACCTGCTCCTCCGTCACGGACTCAATCTTCTGAACCCAGATGACGTGGCGGCAGTGCTGCTTGTATACCTTACAGCACTCAGCCGAGGTATCAATTGCCACCACCCCAGCGGGCTCAAACCCAATCAAATCCAGTGCTTGCTTCAGGCCTCCCATGCCCGCAAAGCATTCGATCACTAGGGCATTCTCAGTAGCGGCTCCCTCCAGTCCATCACGCTCATGACTGAGGCTGTGAAGTCTTGCACTTCCCCAGGGGCTCAGGCCAGTAGTGCAGCAGGCTCCTCCGCCTTCTGGACTCGCGTCTGTCGCATACACTTGGCCTGACACTTTCATCTTGACGTCAAGCCAGTGCATGGGCAGTGAGCAGCATAGCAGCAAGAGCTCGTCGCGACCTTTCTCACTCAAGAGTCGTGGCCTGCTGGCATTCATTTCCACGTACAGCCTGTCAAACAACACTGCCAGCTGCCGGTTGTATTGCACCGAGTGCATGTTCTTTGAAACCACAGACTGCAGATTGGGGGAATCAGTACGGACCTCATCCCCCACCAACAGCCCAAGGTTAGCACTCAGAAGTGCCCGGCGGAAGCTCCGCGAGCTGCCAATCCATCCTTCCTCTCCAGCCACTTCGGCTCCCAAACTGGTCCAGCTGATTGATCCCTCAGCTGCTTTCTTGGGGTCTCTCCCTACAGTCAATTCCTCCATGGTCTCTCGCAATTGGAGTTGTTCATCGGTCGGCTGGCCTTCGTACAGCCCCCGGTCGGTCCTCCAGATGATCTTCAGCTGGTCAAAGTTGTCCATATAGAACGAAAAGAATGATCTGGGAGTTGCCAAAGGTTCCAACGGGCTCGGCTCGCCCATTCGAATAACTTGATTAGGCGCCAAACCTGCCATCTTGGCCATGTTCTCAAAGCCGTCCTGGATAAAGTCCACCACATTGTTCCACCCCATGGGTGCACTCTTCACTCGAGGGTAACCTTTCTCCACCTTTCCATCTTTGAAGGCCTGTCCTGAAGCCATCCTACTCAAACTGAAGAAGGCTCGCCATGCATATCCTGGCCGGTAGATATGAAAGCAGTGTTTCTGGTCCTCAGCGGCACATATGATGATTTCGTCCTCATGCAAGTAGAGGTTCCCCCACAGCGGGGCATAACCCATCTTCTCCGAAGCTCTCACTGGCATGCGTCTCTGGAACGAGTTGCCGGGGATCATGTTGATGATCAATCTCAACGTGCGGAGCCATTCTCCATCCTCCTTCAGCACCCAACTCTTGTGGACGCCAAACGCCCCATTACGAACTGGCTCCCCTCGATACTTGAGGGTCTCTGCCTCAACTTCCCTCTCAAGCATGCCTGCATCTACCAGGTGGCTCACGATCTTGTCCCACTCCTCCTGGCTGGTGACTTGCACCAACGCTGAGGTGCGTGGCCCAATGAGCTCCTCGTCCGGGATACGCAGCAGCGAAGGGTCATCCACATATTCCTTGACCGAGTCGCTCACCACTTCTGACAATGGGATCCTCGCCGCTTCACTCGCACCTGGTGTTGTGGGGAGTATTGCCTCCAATGTCAGAGGATAGGATTTCCCTACGTTGGGTCCTGTGTACATGTCCCCCAATGTCTCAGACGACTTCTCCCAGGTGTCTGCCCTGATCGCATCCTCCTTATCTTCTTCAATCCATTTCTTGCTTAAGCTGTCAAGTCGCTTGATGGATCTTTCCTGGCTCGCAGTAGGTTCCTTCGCATGAAGCATGCACTCAGACAGCATGCGACCACCTGCTCCGTGGCAGTATAGGTGGTTGATCACGAAGCACTGCAGCCAGGTCCATGCCTTCACACCGATTTCCTTTGCCTCACTGTTCAGCTTCCTCCAACTCTCACTGGTCACATCCAAGCGGCCACAGAGGACCTCCTTCACCGCTGCCTCAAAAGCCAGTTCTTCGTCGGTCATGATGGGCATTGGCAATGGGAGTAGCTCCTTTGCCAGTCGGTGAAAGTTCTCCAGAGCGCAGCAAGGAAGGGCACGCGCTAAGTTGCCCAACTCTCCAGGGCGGTCTTGAATGCCGACTTTTAAGACCACCCCCACAAGACTCACCGACAAGCTGAGCCCCAGCCCTCGCCGCATCATCTGCCTCCATGAGACCGGCGTCACGTGCTCTTTTGGAATCAGCCCAAATTCCTGAATCAACCAGTCGGCAGCTCTCAGGTCCTTTGAGCCAACATATAAGTGTTGACCCACCAAAGATATCCTCACTTTTTCCTTATCCAACTGACTGACAAACTCCTGGTGGTAGATTGAGGCACCAAACTCTTTGTGAGGGGTGCCAACATAAACCCCGTCCTCTCTCTTCCACTCAATGTCAGCAGCTCGCACTTCAATGCCATTCACCAACTTTAGGAGCCGACCTTCCCCAGACCGAGGATCAACCCCGGCCTGAGATTGGTCGACCCCCAAGAGCCGGCAGGCCACTTCCGATGCGGATGGTATCAATTCCTCTCCTAGGAATTGACAGCTGAGCCGCAACTGCTTCTTTACCAGTGCAGGTGGGTCTCCAGCGACATTGGCAATCATCTCAAAGAAATCCTGCTCTATCATCTTCCAGTTTGGGCTCTTGCCCAACGCAAACCTCCTGAGTCGATAGAGCGCCACCCCCTCCGGATCCTGCATGAGGCTTCTGACCTTCTCTCGTGTTTCTTCAGACACTTCACATTCATTTAGGGCCCTTTCCATCGCTGGGTATTCTAACCCCCGCCGGGCCGCGGGTGGGCTCACCACCGCTTGCCCTTCTTCCCTTTTCCTCTTCCTTTCTTTCCTTTCCCTTGGCTCTGACCTCCTCCGTTTTCGGGTGGTCCTCCGTCTTTTCCTTCCGCTTCCTTCTTGTCCATGTTCCCCCCCCCTCCGGGGGAGGGATACCAGGCGGCCCTCCTTTTCGGCCATTGGTCCCTCTGCAGCCTCAGGTCGCTCTTGTGCTCTTGCTGGGCTGCCTTCAACTCCTGTCGGAACCAGGCTCGTTGCTCCTCCTCCGGCACAATGAGCTCCAGCAAGTTTGCTTGACTCCATTGGCCCTAAGCTATGAACAGCTCGATGCTCTTCATTCTCTGTACGGCCACGTCGAGTGCACGGAGAGAGTCGTTCATGGCCATGAGATCCACCAGCGTCGCCAACGTACGCAGCTCTCTCAGATTCCGCAGGCCAATCGCTGCTTCTGGATGGCGCACCATGTAGATCTGGCTGAGGTATGCGCGCGCTACCGGCGGCATCTCCTGCTCTGTCTCGGCCGTTCCCCCGCCTATTGAGCGGTTCAGGAGCTCCTGAAAGCGCCGGAGCGTTAGGTCCGCCAGAGCCCCTGGCTTCTCCTGATGCAACCGGTGCAATCGGTCTACTCCCTGTGGCAGGGCGGCCAACTGAAAAAGCGACCCTGAACTCGATGAGGAGGTCTCGTCGTCCCCTGAGTCACTTTCCTCGGAGGACCCCTTGCTAGCTTCCTCCTTTTTGGACTTCCGCTTTTTCTCTGAATCTCTTTTCCGCTTCTTTTTCTTCTTCTTCTTCAGGTCGTCTCCTTTCAGCTTGAGCGCACCCCCGGTAGGTAGCGGTGCCTTCCGCTTATTCAGAACGGCTCGAAGGCCTTCCTCTCGGGCATCCACTGGTGCCTTCTTCTCCTTCCTTTTCTTCTTTTCCTCCTTATCATCGTCGATCTGCCTCTCTCTCTTGTCGCCACGATCTCCTGCAGTTCCAAGTGCTCGAGCCAGCCCTGCAATGCCAGCTTCACCCACCTCCACTTCACCATCAGCTCGGCTCCCACGGCCACCATCCCCACCCCCCACAGCTGGAGAGGCGAGGGCTGGGACCGCAGGCGCCTGCGTGGCGTGGAGTGCCAACAAGCTTTTGGCCTTCTCATTCTTTTCATCGGTCATCCACGGCAGCCTCACGTATGTATCATCCGGCAAGACTCTGAAGACGTCAACGTGGATGGGGTCCCGGTACAGCGTTTGCTCCCCACACCGATGGGCCGCCACCTGACAGAAGTGGAATGGCAGCACCTTCGTGGGGTAATGATTTTGTACCCACCACTCGTAATATCCGTCTTCAATGGCCAGAAAGAATCCTCGCCAGGTTTGACCTTTGCCAGCCTCATCCTCTATGGCGCGGTGCTGCAATTTCACAACACCTCGGCCCTGCTGTCGCCCCGCATCGTCATAGAGGCTCACCTCTACAACAGCGCTGGGTGTCAACCCAAGCCAGTGTTCCTCACCAGCTTTTCGTCCTGTCTTCCGCCAGGGCTCGGGTTCAGCCATCCCGACACCTGGGCCCTTTCACCCGGTACGGACCGGGGTCCAGGTTCCAGATGCCAGGTGACCTTACCTCCACACCTGGCACGTCTTCCTAATTGAAGCTGAGGAAATGCTGCGGATAGGGCGAACATGCCATTCACACTATCATTACGGGGGACCATTAGCTATGGTTTACATCCACATAAATCACTGGAACTGTACCCTCAATCACCCATGTTTTAGTGGTTTAATAACGGTTTAATCATGAAAAATTACATATTTTGATGGTTTAATCCACGTTTTTCACACAAATCCACATGTTTTCCAACGGTTTCTGTGGAGCTTCCCGGGGCCCGCAGGGGCCCCAAAAGTGGCCCGCCTGTGGGCGAAGGGCGTTTCACGAAGCATCACGGCCTCAATCACCTGGCGCAAAACGATGTTCTGCGGTCAGATTTCTTGTGGAATAACCCTATACTAGTTATACTGGTTGGTGGTTTGAACCCCTCTGAAAAATATGAAAGTCAGTTGTTGACTTTGGTATGAAAAATCCACCAAGATCGGGATAAATTGACCCTTTCCTATCTTTTGGGCTTTCTGACGAATGTAGAAATATATCCTTCACTGATAAACGATCACCGCCATTAGTTTATCCGATTCTCAAGAGGTCTACGATGATGGAGCTTCCATGGCCATGATTTCCATTTCGCTTACCCACCCGCAAAATTGTTGGGAAAAATTCCCAATTCTTTGCTGGTTTCATCCCCACGTTGCTGGGATGATGATTCCCCGAGTCATATGGTACCCTCTGGTAATGACTGTTACATAGCTATTGAAAATTGCCATTGAAATAGTGAGTTTTCCCATGAAAAATGGTGGATCTTTCCATAGTTATGTGACAGTTTACCACAGGGTAATTTCATAGCTTTTGACCCATCCCCAGAAAAATCAGTGCTTTGACCCATCAAGAACCAACAGACTTGCACAAAATACTAATGCATTAGCATGCATTAGCGCCAAAGTTCGAGGTATCATCCTTTGCTGTGGTTCTACTGTAATGTCAACCCCGGATGAGACTAAACCATGGTTTATTAATTAGGGGGGTACTCCTCCAATAGTCATTATCTAATACTTTTTTATGGTACCCTCCCAATTAAACAGCCGTAAACGGGGGTTATTAATCCAGGGTTGACATTAGATATCTATAGATCCCAATTTTGAAGTTAGACTATTATTTATCTATAGATATCTAATTCTCTATCTATTTATTAATCCAGGGTTGACATTATCACTTCACCTTGGCTTCTGAAAATGGGCTTCAGATTTAGGTCTAAATCGCAAGGAGATTTCACTCCGGGATCTGGGATCTGGGCCCCCAAAAAACGGTGGTTTTTTTTGGGGGGTTCCATAGTCATGGAGGTACCCCCATAGCTGGATGGTTTATAGTGGAAAATGCCATCAAAATGGATAATTTTGGGGGGTAGCCCTATTTCAGGAAACCTCCATATATCCACGTACAAATTGAACTCCCCCCTCAAGTATGAAACATTCACAATTCCTGGGAGGTCCAAGTAACAGCCTGATCATCTACGGCAAACATATGTACGGACCAAAGAATGAAAGCGTTGAATGCCACCATCGTTCATTTTCCAAGTAAGAGATGCAACGGGAAAAAACTGATCGCTGGCTTCCCCTGCAAAACGTAAAAATCAGTTGGGATCAACATCCCCAATATGATTTTAAAAAGGACTACCGTCCATTTTAATGGCATGTTCCATTTAAAATGGATGGTTTATAATGGATAATGCTAATTAAACTACCACACTACAGTTGAACTACTCATCGGGCAGCACTGCTTTTTGACCCGTTCGGCGCCATGGTTCTTTCAACAAACAGCAGTGGTAGCTTTCCCACCACCCAATTTTCGGATCGTACCAGGGTTTCCCGCGCTGAAAAATCACATTGGTTGTGGGGCTGCAATTAAAGTGAAACTATATCTGGTTGGTGGTTTGGACCCCTCTGAAAAATATGAAAGTCAGTTGGGATTATTATTCCAAATATTTGGAAATAAAAAATGTTCCAAACCACCAACCAGATATAATGGGAATAATCGTATGGTTTCAATAACACCCATGGTTGTTGGCATATGGGGCCCCTATAACTACGGTGACATCTAATTGTCGTCGCTATATCAATGGTTAAAACATGTTAAAGCCAGAACAAATTGGGATATAAGATAACACCACTATAGTCACTATAGCTATGGTTCTATATGAGCCATGGTCAATATTCACTATATGGTTGATGGTCATCCCATCCATAATAAGGATCCAAAAATAATGGTTATTATAAATCCCGAGTGGAACCATTGGATGACTAGCCCCGTTTTTAATGGATATTAACCATGAGTATTGACCATAGCTCATATAACCACAACTTATAACTGGAACTGCACTTAGGACAGAGCCATAGTTGCAGAAAACCCAAAAAAAAACCAACTTAACTTCCAGTGAAACCTCACCATCCTGCAGACAAAAACAGGAATCCTTAACTTCCAAAAAGCTGATAACATCTGATACCCTCTGGTAAACTGTCACATAACTATGGAAAACTACCATTTTTAACGGGTAAATCAACTATAAATGAATATTTTCCATGGCTATGTTAGTTTACCAAAGGGTAACTCATTTTGTAATGTCCGACATTTTGCAACAGGAATCCCCCAAGTCTTTTACCATCCAACAAAAATGCGACCTCGGCATTCACTTGGCTCGAAGCTTCTGATTGATCACCATCAACTCCTTCGCACTGCTCTTGGCCACCAAGCAGAAAATGTCGCATTGACAGGTCGCACGTTCCGGATTCCAGGACTGCACTTGGCAGCTGCGAGCACCGTGCTTGCAGAAGCTCAGCGTGAAGCTACCTGGACGGAATCACGGGGAGACTCGTTGAACGGTTTTTTTTTCGTGGAAACCAGTGGAAACTCCGTTTTTTTTCTGGGAAAATCTTGATTTGTCTTGGAAAATCTTGGAAACATGTCAAAAAAAAATAGCTGCACCTTGGTCTTCGAAGAAAAACTCTCCGTCATTGAACACCTAGATTTGCTGAAGGGCCCTAAATATGTATATATTCCTTAAATGGTTCAGCCAGCAAATAAAACGTCACCTCGAACAAACCTTCAGCGATGGTGAAGCACTGCCATGCCGTGTCGGTGTCCACACCGTCCACAGCGGATTGATAAGACCTGGTTGTTTACTTGAAGGGTCATTCCCAGCCACAGCTATTGAATTCATCCCACCTCTAATTATGATATTTGTATAACAGATCATCTAATCATGATCATATCATGTTTTTACTTAGATAATTATCACATTGCTGGTTAAATGTTAAAGATACCCTCTAGTTATGATAATAGTATCATTAATTAGATACCCTCTGGTAATTTAACATAGCTATTGAAAATGACCATTTATAGTGGATTTTCCCACTAAAAATGGTGATTTTCCATAGTTACGTTAAATTACCAGAGGGTAAACCTCCATTTTCCTATCGTTTTCCTATGGTTTTCCCATTAAAACCTCCATTTTCAGAGGATTTTGGCTGACACTTCCCCCACGTTTCTGTCGCCCAAGTTTCTTCGCACTGTCAAGATCCCAGGGAGAACTTCGAAGAGGCCACGACCCGCTCGCTGCTGGGCGTGGCGTCTTCGTGAATTGCGAGGGGAGACGAAGAAATCTTGGGATCTTCTGTGGTCAAAGAATTGACATCTTTTCAAATTGGGATCTTCAAGTTCAATAGATATTGGATGATATTGGTATATTTAAGGGTATAAACCAGTGGGATGTTCGGAAAAAATTATGCCAAACATCGTTGCATCCAATTTCTATGTTGACGTCTTTCCCAAGGTTGGCAAGTACATGGTTGACAAACCCAGAGGAGCCCCGCAGGGAGGATCGTAAGTCTCCCCCTCATGTTTTTATTTGGCATGACCCAAGATGACTTCTTTCGTATTACCCGCTGGAAATTTGTGACATTGCTATGGAAAATTGACCATATTCATAGATTATATAGATTATTTATGTACCTATTTAAAACTGAGATTTTCCATAGCTATGTTAAACTACCAGAGGGTACATTGGCCTATTTTTTGTTGCTTGAGCATCTAACTGTTCGATTCAATGCTAGTGAAATCCTCAGGATAAATTCCTGGTTGTCTGGTTGTAAAATCCGTACATTGCTGCTTAAATCCAATCTTCCAATGGAAGAATGGATGTTTTTTTTCAAGATAATGTTCACAACCACCGAAACTATTTGATCCTATGGGATTTTCATTGAATGATAGTTGGTAAATAACAAAAATAGGATCCCATGTTAATAAAAAAATGTTTAACCAACATTCCTATGATATTTAATGAATGTTGGTCAAGAAGAAAAATTCTACTGGTTACGATCCCAATCTCGCTTGATCTCCCATCATCCCATCATCATCCCAGATTGGGTCACAACTCTTGGGTAAGTGTGCAGTTCCCTTGTGATTCTTTTGTGGTTCTATATATATATACTAGTATATAGATATATTACCAAAAAAAAACATAACATAATAACATTAATTAACCAACATTAACCAACTATATCAGTTGGATGATACAACATGATATATATATATATACAAGGTGGTGCCCCCCCAGTTATAAATGGGTTATAATCCCAGTAACTAGTTCGATATATCACCAACAAAAACCATAGTGAAATTGGACTTATAAACCAACTTAGCTAACTATGGGGCACCACCCTGTATATTACAAAAAATCATAACATAATAACATAGCATAACTATAGTGGTGTCATCTTTTTTCACTCATGGCCCAATTTATGTGTGTTTTAAGCTTTACCGATGCTAATTAGATGTCACCATAGTCAAGAAGGTGCACAATACCCCAACAACCATGGGGCTTTATAACAGCTTACCAGGAGGCTTTAAAAAAATATTAATAAATAAAAGTAGCCTCTAGCATGCTCCCCCAAGTTGGTTGTAACCCCAGTTCTTGCTGGACAAACCCTTCTTGGCCTACTTATAACTGGGGTTTGAATCCCGTTAAATCCCTATTCACTCCCTATCAAATCTCCATTGACTCCCATAATTTGTTTTTGTTTTTAAGATCAAACTTGACAATGGATGTTGCACCCTCATGGCGACCTCGGACCTCGGACCTCGAACCTCGGACCTCGGACCTCGAACCTCGGGTCGGGCTCGTTGCCAAGTGCGTTCTGAGTTTTATAATGCCCAATTCATCCCAAATGGTGATTCTTTAGCCGAGCGTCCGACAACGTTTCACCACCCTGCAGGAGGCGTTCAGCTAGCGACGCCAGGCCGCGATAGGTCTGGTGTTGCAGATCGCTCCAGTCCTCATTTCAGGTCAGAAAGTCAGGAGTTTACTGGGAAAAAAGATGGTTCACTGCGATGAATTGGATTTTGCCAACAACTGGGACCTATGGCCTGATCTCAGGAAAACTTCGGATTTACCAAGAAAATGTGCAGCTAACACAAACGCGACTTTTTCACCGGCAAAAATTGGGGGCTATTCCATCTTATAAGTGGCTCATAAGCATGACTATCTGTTCATAGGCGGTTATCCAGCCATGAAAAAGAACCGTGATTTTGGGGGGTTGAATCATCTCCAAGAGACGGCCCATCAGAGGTCATTCACTGCCACCCTCCTTGATCTGGGTTGTAATGGTTCACTAACCTGGAAAGTTTGGCAATATTGGGATAAAACCCTTTCTTGACCATCATTGTGAAGAGGCAGTGAAGTCCACCCTGTCTCATTCTAGCCCCAAACCGAGCGGATTGAAATCTTCAGCATACAAAATCATTCAATTTCATGAAAAAGGTCACCAAATCAATGTATTGAACTCTAAAAAGCCAAAACTCAAGAATTCAATCCTAGGCTTTGGAGCTTAAAACACTGGGATTTTATCTGAAATCTGATTTGCCACCTCAGAGCTCACCGTGGCCGCTATGGCCGCCATCCGTCGGTCCTTGCGAACGTTCAGGAGGTGCTGGTCGTCTTCCGTGTTCTCCTCGTCCCAGAAGAAGTTGCGCGGCATGGAGATCTGCTTTAACTCCAAGTCATCAAACAACCTGCTGGAGATGTACCGATCCGATTCGATATGGTTTATCATTGGGTTTACCCTCTGGTTATTTAACACAGCCGTGGAAAATGGCCCATAGAAATAGATGACTTACCTATTATATAAAAATTGTGATTTTCCATGGCTATGTTAAATAACCAGATGGTAATAACTAAAAAATCTGGGAGAATAAATTCCAATGTATGATTATCATAGGGATTCTTCCAGATTTTTCAGTTATCATAGGGAACCCAGTTGATTTGGAGGTACCCCTGGCATTTTGACCCAGATGTTTGTTGGGATAGTGGAACTACACCACGGCAACTATAGCTATATAAGCACTTATTATATAGTGGAACTAGACCCCTATAGATCCACTATATAATTATTATATAACCACTTATTTGGACCTATATAATTTATAGAATCAGAACTATATAGGTCCAAATTTTGGGGTTGTTTCTTAAAATGTGGTTTCTTCGAACAAGCTGCAGGAACTTTAGGAACCTTGCCTAATATGAAATAACCCCAAAAGAAAACATTGTTTAGCATAGTTCGCGAGTGAAACTTAGAATGTGGTGCTTCCAGGCATGAATCAGTCTATCGTGGATCTCTTCCTTTTGGGGTATGTGCGAGCAGATCCAAACATGGTATATACGGTTATGGTTTACGGTCATCCATCCCACAATGGGAATCCTTATAATGAGTATACAAATCCCATACGAATTCCTATGATGGATTGATCACCATCCCCCAAGATATGTATATCATGGGTATATCATCCAACTGATATGGTTGGTTAATGTTGGTTACGTATCCCACTCTGTTCCCATTCATATACTACTGGATCCTCATCTTAGTAATACGTAAATCCAACGAACTTTGACACTGGCACATCTGGGTGATATGACCATATGACCCTTTGCGCCACCGCAAAATGTCTGTCATCCCCATGTCCAATCTACCCTCCAGTAAACATACAAAAAACTATGGAACATCACCATGTTCAAAGGGAAAAAACACTATTTCTATGGCCATTTTCGATTGTTTTTTGTATGTTTACCAGAGGGTACCACTCCACCAGAAACGGCCTGATGATGCGGTCCTCTGCTGGATACACCACCTCCCACTCCCGCGAATGGGCGTCCGTATCCCCCGAAGAGTCCAGATCCTTCAGACAGACCTAGCGAAGCTGGGCCCGGGAACGGTTTTTGTAGATGGACCCGCCACGGCCACTGGGGCCCAAAAAGGTCACTTGGTTTATGACTATACAAAGTCTATGCGGTTGATAGTTTTTCGACACTTAGGGGTTATAAACCATGTTCAACCTCAAGCCTAGTATGTTTTTTTTGGGCTCTACTGCAAGCTTAGGGTCTTCATCAGCTCCATGGGGTGCTGGAAAATCCCATGGAAAATCCTCCATGTTTTTTTGATGGTGAAAAACAATATACTAACTACCACCTATAAACAGAGTTTTTAACCATGTGGTTACCCTCTGGTAAACTAACAGTTTGCTATTGAAAATGGCCATAGAAATAGTTGATTTACCCATTAATAGCATGGTGGTTTTCCATAGTTTTTTGTATGTTTACCAGAGGATAATCCCAATATTAACATTATTATCCCATTATTATCCCATTATTCCCACAAATCATCCATTTTAGTAGGATTGTCTATTATAAACCATCCATTTTGGGATATCCCCATTTCAGGAAACCACCATTTTCTAATATAAACCCTCATATATTTTCCATGGTGATTTAGCGAACCCAATCAAGCCACCACGCGATATTGCGAGCCGCCGCTTGCCATGGCAGCAGCGGGGCGTTTCAAGGGTGGCATGGTGGCGGCGAAGGTTTGAGCTGAAGTGACACTGTGGCCGGTGGCTTGGGAAAAGCTCGGAATAATGGAATGGTTTAAGGGAAATTTTAGTGGAAACCACAGGAAGCCCCCTATATTTCGTGGAACCATGGTTTCCGGTTAAGATGTTCCCTTACAACAATCCATTGATGCACCAATTTTGAAGCATAGAATCTATGGTTCGTGAGTACTAAGCATGGAATCTATAGGATGAACATATATATATATATATATTAGTGTGAAAC